CAGGGCATTGCACAAACATCCAGGCAAGAAAAATTCAACAATTAGAGCCAAAATTGGAAAAATAGTGGGAAATTTTATAAAATTGGGGACAAAAATTTGTTGTAACCAGAGAGCTGGTACCAAATTAATCGTTAAAACAAGAATAATTTAAACCACACCTTAAGGATAACTGTCAGGACTTGAAAGAAAAAATTGTTGTAGGCAAAAATTTGTTATAACAAGATTCGTTGTACAGTAATGATATTCTACTGTATTACACGCTATGCTGCTCTGATGCTGATGATTCAGATCGGCCAGTAATAATGACAGCGACAGCAGTTTCGTTTTCCAATACATTTTCTTTTCCGTCTCACGGACGAGGAAATGAACACAGAACAAGAATGAAAAGAAAAGTAAGGTGGGGTGTGCTGATTGGTCTTCTCCTTTCACACGTACGCATATAGAACGAGGACATTCCCTTGTTTGTGGCCACGGACGCCGGGAACGTGGCCCTGTGCCGAGAGCTGCTGTCCCAGGGCGCCGACTTGCAGCTAGCCATGCGGCGCAAGTCCAACCGGGACACCGTGTTGCACATGGCCGTGCGCCGACGGGACCTGGACCTGTGTCGTCTCTTTGTGGAGCACAAAGTTAAGATTGACGTGCAGAACGTGAGTGTACTTTACGAATCCGCAGAGCCATCATACTGTACATCACAGAACATAAATGCTACTGCATACGAGGGTTCTAACAAAAGTTCTTGGAATGAAAATGAAAATGGCGTCTGATCGAGTTTTAAAAAATTTATTCTTTAGGGCAAACATATTCTTTGGCAAAAAAAATCAGCCCTGTTTCAAAAAAAAAAAAAAGCTGCAGGAAGGGTGCCTCATCTGTTGAGTGTATGGCAAAACTCTGCCTGGGTGAATTTTGCAAAAAATTGTGAAACAGGGCTGATTTTTTTTGCCAAAGAATATGTTTGCCCTAAAGAATAATTTTTTTTAAACTCGATCAGACGCCATTTTCATTTTTATTCCGAGAACTTTTGTTAGAACCCTCATATATGCGGTCTCGGGTATGAATTGGAATTTGCAACGTGATGTTTCAAAGCTCTGGTGCTCTTCTTCCCCTTTCATTCTCCTTCTGTAAATTTACATTGTGCCTCCCAAAAATCAGGCCGATGGACAAAGCCCGCTCCACATTGCCGCCAGCGAGGGCGACGAGGCCATCGTCAAGTTCCTGTACACGCTGCACGCCAACGCCTCGCTGCCCGACAAAGAAGGTGAGCTTGATAGATGACGGTTCAATGATTGAATGTACAGTATTTTTATAGATTTGTTTATCTATTTATTTATGTAAACAGACAGAACCCCACTGCACTTGGCAGCTGAACGGGGCCACCCGCAGGTCGTGGAGCTGCTGGCCGAGCGGTTCAAGGCGTCCGTGTTCGACCGGACGAAAGACGGGTCCACGCTGATCCACGTGGCGTCCCGCAACGGGCACCAGGAGACGGCCCTGGCCTTCCTCAGGAAGGGTGTGCACCTCCACATGCCCAACAAGGTACCGTACTCTATACAAAATATCGATATTCTCTGATGATGATGGGGCATCATGGCATGTAATGTTCTGTATATACAGTATTAAGGCATATAGATACAGAACTGCACCTATTTCATTCATGGTTTACATACACACAGACACAAACACACACATTGAATCATTATTTAAATTATTGCATCCTGCATTATTTCCTTATTCATGCAAACAGCTCTTCAGACCAGCAGCTTAGTGGGAAAAGTTGCCTTGCAAATTTTTTGTTGTTGAAAGTTTTCACTCAAATGGTTCTTATAACCATTCTGTGGCACTTGGAACCATAAAACTACATACGTTTTAAAAGAGAATTGAAGGCACATATTTTATGCTTTTTTCTTCATTGTCACAGCTTAATTTACTATGTAGCTATTCCAAGTCCAAAATTGGTTCATTTTTTTGGCCCACCTCATCTATAAAATTGTAAAATATATATGTATATATGTAAAATTTGTCCCAATGCCGTGTGTGGCTGGGCACCCTCAGCTAGAAATTTGATCAATTTCTCAATTTGAAAATTCATCCCAAATTTTCTGTTCAACCAAACAAAACCATTTTTACAGCGTGAATGCAAAATGGAGTTCAGCACATAATACTTTTTTTTTACTTGAAAAACAATACTAGTTGAATATTACAATATTACCATTTTCAAGTGCCTCAGTTGACATTTTTTATGGTACTGTATGCCCTCTTCCATGTGTGATCTGATGGAAATATCTCCAGTGCCCAGGAATGGCTGGGCACCCTGTTTGCCTATCCAGTATTGGTAGTAGTACATTTAAAAATCTTGCACATGATGCCAGGGTTGGCCGGGACATTTACTTTTACATTCAAAAGAATTGAAAATTGAAAAAAGTATCCTCCCAAAAAGTTGACAAAATTTTTTCCTGGATGTGGTGTCACTTGCCCAGGTGTGGCTGGGCACCCTCCCCTATAGTATATATATATAAATGTATATGTATAAATATAATCCTGCTGACCAACCTTTTGTTGCACTACATGTATGTATAGTAGAGTTCAATATACAACATGCGTTGTCAGTATAGTAGAAGATGATGACAGGTGTAGTCTGGTGCTGTTGCACAACATTATGGCCCACGTATACGTTAACAGCGTGCTACTCCTCAGGCTATGCAGCAGTAGCAGCAGCAGGGGATTATTAATGGTCATCTGCACGCAACTGCTGCTGGCGTTGCTGCTGCTTTTGGTTTAGCTTCTTCCCTTCCAAGCGTGATGCAAGCATGTATACTCGGGTACTGGCACACGCAGCGCAGCATGCAGAAGAAGCTGCTGAGCGCGCGGTTTTTTTTGTTTGTTTTTTTTTTCCATCCAGTTTTGCTCTGCCGCGCTGCTGACCTGTTTGTTTCTTCATCATTTCCCTTTCTCATCCGTCCCACACCTCTTTCACTGGAGGTGGCAACACCAGTAGTACATGCAAATGCCTCATTTGCGCAGTGCACGGACTGCACATGAGAATATGTGTGCTGTTTAATGTGCTGCATGCATGGGCCGCCACCCTGTACTCAATGCATGATGATGATGATGATATTGGTCCAGGAATCAACAAAGGGTAAGATAAAAGGAAACACAAATCAATGAGAGAATCCTCTTGTCCTTCCTCTGGCAGGTGAGAGCTTCAAGTTAAGTCTTCCTGCCAGTCTCTCTCCTTTCTTTTTCCTCTCTTGTCTTGCCAGTGGTTCACTGAATTTTGGTAAATTGGCCACACAGCAGAACTTTGGCTATTTGCACATCTTTTTCCACTTGCCTGAGTCACACCCTGGCAAATTCCTTTGTCCATGTGGGGGACATATTGTGGGACCCAATAAAAGCCACCTCTTTGGTCACTGCTGGTCAATTGGGTGTTGTGGCCAAAAGAACCCCTGGAAGGGGTTGCGCAGATGTTGTTTGTGTGAGGCTGCTGATAGTGTCCTTAATTGGCACTTGCACTGACAATAAGATGCCTGTGCACATACATGCACAGTTGGGCATCACCTGTAGGATAGAAAAGCAACCACTCAGTCATTGAGTTCAAAGTCATGGCAGAGTGAAGCTGGTTTTGGAGGTGGCCATCACTTGGTCACTTTTTTATAGTTGGTCATTCCTGGCCTTTGGCTTGCAGTTGCACCCTTGTTTGCCAGAGTAAATCCCTCCTTTTGGCTGTTGAATTGGCATTTGGTGCCCATGTCTGAAAAGTGAAGAAAAAACATATGTGTATACCCAGCCTGCAGATATTACTGGTGTTTGTGCACTGCCTTCATTGCAGGCCTTTGGGAAAGGTCACACTGTGGAAAGGCATTCCCAAATTTTGTGGACCTGGTGGGGCTCTGCTGCCCACATCCCAGCATTGTGCTGAGGACCTTGCTGTGGATAGTTTTGCCTCAATGCAACCACTTATTGTGGGGTCCTTGGCCTGGTGCCTTTTTATGGTTCCCTTGGTTGACAGCATAATTGGAGCCGGACAAGATAAAATTGACCGAGTGCATGACCATGCTCTTTGGAGCTCATGGTTATGTACTCCTTCCTTTTCAGATTTCCATTGCAACCCACAGAAAAACATACCATGAACATCTCCAAACCCAATACTGGTAGAAAGATAAAGAGTGCATTGCTTTGTGACTCATTCTGCTGGGCGTTGGAAGCTTGTACCACCTAAGTGGGGAGCTATTCTTTCTGTGACCCCACAACTGGAGTACACTGGGGTCAAAACTGGTGTACATGGGCTATTCTAGGGTTACAAGCATGCACCTCTGTAGATGAAATTTTGCTACCATTCCAGGGCTACAGTTGGTGCACAAATGTTACATAACAGGAGCATTGCACAAATGCACCAACTGTAACCTTGGTGTATCTTATTTGTTACAAATGTGACCCTGAGTGATCCTGGTGTGAACACACAATTGGTTCACATTAGGGATATGCATGTGCAGAAGAACTTCAGGTGCACAGCAGGGTCACTGTGTGGAAATACATGCATATACTAAGTGTGCACCATTTTCACCACTCAGACACAAGAGGACCACCAGCTGTTGTCATCTGTTGTAGGATGGACCCTTCCCAGAAACCTGAGCTGAATTGCAAAGACTAGGACCTGATAAAGACCCCCTGAATGTATTCCAAGGTTGCCCCATCCACTGGTGAAGGTATTGGCTCTACACCAGGATTGTATGCTTTTTAACAGTCTCCTTGCTCTCCTCAGATCATCTTGGTAGGGTCTCCCTACAATGAGGACATATGTTTCCTGAACTCATGTCCTGAACTGACATTGAGGAAAAGAGTTTTTCAAGACAGCCTTTGGGTGGGTTTAATGCTAAGGCCCCTGATGGCAATGCATCAGTGGATATGGTGGTTCAGCTTGTGCCCTCCTCCAGCGCCTGCATCATGCTGTCCTCTAGCCACTCTGAGGCTACAAGGGACAATTTCTCTTAGTTGATATCACAATGGTTGCTGCTGTTGAGTGCACTGAGATCCTGAGGGGTGCATTGGAGGTACAGGCAGTAGCCAACAATACATGCAGAGTACTACTGGTGTACAGTCAAACCCCATTAAGATGCCCTCTGATAAAGCGCCACTCTTGGCAACTGCCAAAATTTCAAATGAAACAAATCTCCTCTATGTTAAATTTTATAGAAAATCTTGATAAGACGCCATCTGCCAGCATTAGTGATGGAACAAAAGTGCTGTTTCCAATTAGTTTTGTCTTTGTTACGATGCCAAAATTGGGGTAAAATTATAATTTCTGCCAAGGATCTTGTATTTGTAAGGAAAATAATAACAATGATCATTTTGTTGAAAATTATATTAACCTAATCTTAAAATTTGAATAAATTGATGCAGCAAAATTAATTTTCTGAAAGAGTAATCCATTGATTACAGCAATAATCTTTGGAAAATCACTGAAGTTTCTTACATAACCTATATCTCTTCGACTTTTGGAGGAAAATTGAGTATTTTTGATCAAATAATTAGGATTAAATATTCAATAAACTGCCAACCTCTTTGTTAAATTAGTTTTCTCTTTGTTACAATGCCAACATTGGAGTAGAATTATAATTTCTCTCAAGGATCTTGTATTTGTAAGGAAAATAATAATAATGATCATTTTGTAGAAAATTATATTGACCTAATCTCAAGATTTGAATGAATTGATGCAGCAAAATTTATTTTCTGAAAGAGTAATCCATTGATCACAGCAATACTCTTTCTAAAATTACTGAAGTTTCTTACATATCCTGTATCTCTATGACTTCTGGAGGAAAATTGAGTATTTTTGATCAAATAATTAGAATTGAATATTCAATAAACCACCAACCTCTTTAAACCACCAAAATTGCTCTGGACAAATGGTGACATCTTATTGTGGTTTTACTGTACAAACCAGAGAGAAAGAAAGAAGTAAGAGAGAAAGAAAGATAAATACCAGCAGCAGTTGGAGGCTGCCAATACTGCAACACCAGCACCATGCACCACCACATTGTAGCCGGTGACTGTGCTGCATGCTGAGTGCTGTGTGTTTTTGTCAATTTTTACAATGAGAGAAGCAGCGCGTGCATGTGTCCAGCATATACTACACAGACACCGGTTTGATCAATATCGAGGAAGAGGAAGAAGCAAGCAGCTTATATCCGTCGACGTCCTTGCCTGGCTGCACTGTATATCACAGCTCAACACTCACTGGTGTTGCTTCTCAAAACTCTATACATCAGTACAGAATATTCGCTTAGCGTGGGACATGGTTGTATTTTTACCAATGCAGTATGGACTGTGGATGGATTGCAGTTTATACGCATTGTGCATCATAGCTGCTCATGCTGATATTAATTCAGTACAGGAGCATTGAATGCAGTTTTTTATGAACGTATATAAGACAAGAAATATGCCACTCATGCTGCTGCGCATAATTTGCATACAAAACAAGGTCTTGTTACTCCCCTTTTCTGCTGCTGTATGTGCATCAAGCATGGCGAAGATCAAGCAAATGGTACTGTAATGTAATTTGGCACATACAGTAATACAGCATAAAGTAGGCATTTCTTTGGAATTGCCCTCGTTAAACTCTCGCCTTCGCCATCGGACCCATCATCCAACTTTCAACCGTACACATGACATGAAATGCGAATCTCATGTCTTGCATATGCTGGTCCTCAACATCATACAGTATTTTAGGGATTATTTTAATTTTTAAAACTTGATGTACCGTATACAGTACAGTGAAACCCCCACTTGCGGACACCTAAACCTGCGCACAATTCGACATAGGGACACTTATTTTCTAATAAAAAATTAATAAAATAGGCCTGACATGAGGACACTTTTTCAACATAGGGGCATTCTGTTATAAAATTGCAAATACATTTCAGGCCAAATTAAGAGAAACAGATATTTCCAGCCCTAAAATTGATGCAAGAAAAGTTTTTGGGCATTTCTCTCACCAATTCACTATCCATTGAGCTAATTTAAAAAAATTACCTACAGCATAGAGGGACTTCCTTCTCTCTTTCTCACTTTAGTGTTATTTTTACAGAGAATGCCAACATTCCTACGTTCTGTACAGAGGTATCAGTATTCAATTCCCCAAATGTCCATATTGTGTTGAAATCAGCTTAAATTGGGAGACAATTTTTATTTTCATCGAATTATGGTGAGTATTTTGTTCATAAAACACCAATTAAAATTTATATAATGTAAGTCCAAGGGAAAATGAGACTCAACTTAAGGACTTGGGGAAACTCTAGAATTCTAGATGCACCAATTATGTCCACATCTGGGGGTTTCACTGTATATTCTATATTACGGGAGTGTGATGCAATAACTGAATAACAGACTCACATTTTTTCAGCATGTATCGTTTCTCTGGTGAAAGTAATTTCCCCACAGTTTTTTTTTTTTCTCTACCATGCAGCTATAGAGGGTTGCTGCTGCTGGGTCGGCCTGGTAATGTTACCCTGTCAAACGAGTCTCACACCCTGATAATCATGGGCTCTTCTCCTTCAATCAAATCAGAATCACGCTCCGGCGGCAAACAGCCTCGACCTCGTTTGCAAACGAATGCATCCAGCAGGGTCATGAAGACCGGGGTTTTTTTGACTCGATAAAAGACACACAGAAAAAATATCAAATATAATCACAATACTACTGTACCTTTCAACTCTGCGGTATCATTAAATCCCTTGTACATGGCCGGAGCTATACGAGGGTTCTGTAACGAAGGTTCTCGGAATGAAAATTAAAATGGCGTCTAATCGAGCTAAAAAATAAATTATTTTTTAGGGGAAACATATTCTTTGGCACACACAAAAAAAATCAGCCATGTTTGACAATTTTTTTTTATGTTTTGCAAAATTCACCCTGGCAGAGTTTTTCTATCCATTCAACAGATGATGTGCCCTTCCTGCAGGTTTTGTTGTTGTTGTAGCCCAGCTTTCTCCTCAGAATTCTTTAAATCAATGTGGCATTAATACCAAGGGTTACCTCCATAGGTCTTTAAAGGCAATTCCGCCATTTTCATGGACAGCCGCCACTTAACTCTGCCAGGGTGAATTTTGCAAAACATAAAACAAAATTTTTGAGCAGGGCTGAATTTTTTTTGTGCCAAAGAATATTTTTCCTCTAAAGAAGAAATTTTTTCAGCTCAATTGAACGCCATTTTCATTTTCATTCCAAGAACTTTTGTTAGAAGCTTAGAACCTTCGTACATAGGGTTGTTTTTGGTGGCCGCTGAGAAAATGAGAAAGGATAAAATTTGTGTGTATACAGTATGGGTTGTACAAAAATAAATATTGAAAACCGAAAAGCCTAAAACAAATGATAATGCAGAAGCACATGCACTGTACTACTGTATATGACTTGTTTAATTTATTTTCAAAATGTGAAGATGGAAGGTGTTGATTCATCCCCGTGGTGTTTCACACTCATCCTTCCATTCAATGTAGATGAAAACATCAGGTGTACCACAGGTCCTAAGACATAATTGAAAACTTTTAATTTAATCTCGTCTTCTTTTGACTGTTGAAAGCAACACAAAAACAAGAATTCTTGGTTCTTTTTTGGGTATTTTTACTCGCGTTTTAAGAATGTCTAGTTTCCTAAAACTCTTGGAAATGTTTTTCTTCTTCTCTTCATTAACATGTTTGAAACAAGTGCGGCCCAGAAGAATGCGCTGTACTGTATGTATATAGGATCCAGGTTCTTATACTGCCCAAGTGGGGAGCTATTCTTTGTGTGACCCACAAATGGTGCACACTAGGGTCACAATTGGTGTACATGGGCTATTCTGGGGTTACTAGCATGCGCCTCTGTAGAGAAAATTTTGCTGCCATTCATGGGCTACATTTGGTGCTGAAATGTTTCATAACAGGAGTAACACACAAATGCACCAACTGTAACCTTGGTGTAACTTATTTCTTTACAATTGTGACCCTGAGTAATCCTGGTGTGAACACACAATTGGTGCACAGTATGTGTTGTATAAAAATAAATATTGAAAACCGAAAAGCCTAAAACATATAATAATGCAGAAGCACATGCACTGTATATGACTTGTTTAATTTATTTTCAAAATGTGAAGATGGAAGGTGTTGATTCATCCCCGTGGTATTTTACACTCATCCTTCGATTCACTGTAGATGAAAGCATCCGGTGTACCATAGGTCCCAAGACATAATTGAAAACTTTCAATTTAATCTCATCTTCTTTCGACTGTTGAAAGCAATACAAAAACAAAAATTATTTGTTCTCGTTTGGGTCTTTTTACTCGCGTTTTAAGAATTTCAAGTTGCCTATAACTCTTGGCAATTTTTTTTTCTTCTTCTCTTCATTTGCATGTTTGGGACAAGCGTGGCCCAGAAGAATGCGTTGTACTGTATATGTACAGGATGATTAGGATCCAGGTTCTTATATTGCCCAAGTGGGGAGCTATTCCTTGTGAGACCCACAAATGGTGCACACTGGGGCCACAATTGGTGTACATGGGCTATTCTGGGGCTACAAGCATGCACCTCTGTGGACAAAATTTTGCTACCACTCATGGGCCACATTTGGTGCAAAAATGTGACATAACAGGAGTATCACACAAATGCATCAAGTGTAACCTTGGTGTAACTTATTTGTTTACAATTGTGACCCTGAGTAATCCTGGTGTGAACAAACAATTTGTGGACATTAGGGATATGCATGTGCAACAGAAGAACTTTGGTACACTTCACATGCACAGCAGGTTAACTGTGTAAAATTACAAACATATCCTCAGGGTGCACATATTTCCCCACTTGGGTGCAGATGTGTGGTAACAAAAATGGCCTCTTTGAACTTACTGCATATAAGTGTGCTTGCTAGTGCTGTATCAGCATGTATTGTGTACAGCAATGTATACTGCATTTGCCTTCTGCATGGAGTTGGATCATGTACATGATGGGTCTTTAAAAGTTGTGGAAAAAAATAAATTGAGACATTACGTTAGTGAAGGTATGTATGAGTATAGGGCCAGTGTGCAAGCAGTACAGTGTTCTGTACTGAGAAAGAATATACAGTGAGACCCCTCAATGCAGACATATTTGGTGCATCAAGAGTGTTCCTAAGTTGAATTGTCCCTAAGTTGAGTCTTGTTTTGCTATATACTTACAGTGTATAATTTTTAATTTGTGTTTTATGGAAGAAATGTTCTTCAGAATTCCATGGAAAAATTTTGTTTGCCAATTATATTTGATTCAGTAAATATATTTCCAACCCAATAAGAACATTTGGAACATTGAATAGTATACCACTGTATAATTCATTGAAATGTTGGAATCTGTAAAAATGACATCCAAGTCACAGAAAAAGAAGGAAGTCCCTCCATGCTACACATAATTTTTTCAAGTTAGCTGAATGGGGAAGTAATGGGAAAAGTGCCAAAGAATTTTTCTTTCATAAATCTTAGGGTTGGAAATATCTCTTTCTTGCAATAAAGCCTAATTAAAATCAAGTTTCCTAAAATGTATTGGCAATTTTATCATGCAATGTCTTCATGTCAAGTCAGTGTCCCTATGTCAGGCCTTTTTTATGATTTTTTTTACTGAAAAATAAATGTCCCTAAGTCAAATTATCCCCATGTCAAGGTGTCTGCATGTGGGGGTCTCACTGTACTGTATATATACACTTGCACAAGAAGCGCTGATGAGAAAAACGCAATGGGCGTGAGGAATTTTGTCAACTTGGCCAGGCAGTCATAATGAATGCTGAGACACACGACAGGTGGCATGCGAGTCATCAGGTCAGAATCATCGCTGGGCGGGCCACTCCTTTGTAATTCAATCACTCCGTCTATACTGCATACATACAGAATTGAGATACAATATACAGTACTGTATATACAGTGAATGGACAAGGTAAATTTGCACACGAAGTCCGTCCTCATTGCTCTTACTGTACAGTGTACTTTGTGCAGTATATGCAACGGGGGTGCATGTGAGTGCTGCTGCAACAGCATAGGATGAAGGTCAACATGACCCATCACCAGCAGAAATGAAGGAGGAATAAATAATAACGGGCGGGTGGACACTCTGCTGCTGCATGAGCTGTACTTTCGGTCTCGCTGATGATGATGGGATGTAAGGGGGTTTTTTTACAATCAGGCAAGGCAGAAAAAGAATCTTGACACTGTTAAACATGTAGGTATGTACAGGAGTAAAAGCACGCACACCCCTGATGTTTTATTCCCTGTAGTTTGTACACTAAACCTACAGTAGAGTGAGACCTCCAAGATGTGGACATAATTGGTGCATCAGTAGTGTCCTTGAATGGTCTTGTTTTCCCATAGACTTACATTATATTATTTTTAAGTGGTGTTTTGTGGAAGAAATATTCTTCAGAATTCCATTAAAAAAATGGTTTGCCAATTGAATTTGATTCAGTGAATATCTTTTCAACTCAATAAGAACATGTGGAGCATTGAATAGTAGTGATTGAACTGCTTTGAAGTGATTAAATGTCTTTGAGGGGATTTGGGTTGAGTTGGGAGGGGGTTTGGATGTGGATATCTTGATTGTACCTTGTGAACGCTGAAAAGTGGCAAATGAAGTTTTCTGTTCATTCATTCATTGAATAGTATGCCATTGTACAGTTCATTGAAATGTTGGCATCTGTAAAAATAAAATCCAAGTCACAAAAAGAGAAGGAAGTCCCTCTGTGCTACAGGTAATTTTTTTTTAATTAGCTGAACTGATGGGAAAGTGATGGGAAAAGTACCAAAGAATTTTTCTTACATAGATCTTAGGGCTGGAAATATCTATTTCTTGCAATTTTTAAATTAGCTGAACGGATGGGAAAGTGATGGGAAAAGTACTAAAGAATTTTTCTTATATAGATCTTAGGGCTGGAAATATCTGTTTCTTTCAATTTTTAAATTAGCTGAAAGAATGGGAAAGTGATGGGAAAAGTACCCGAAGAATTTTTCTTACATAGATCTTAGGGCTGGAAATATCTGTTTCTTGCAATTTTTAAATTAGCTGAACGGATGGGAAAGTGATGGGAAAAGTACCAAAGAATTTTTCTGACATAGATCTTAGGGCTGGAAATATCTGTTTCTTGCAATTTTTAAAATTAGCTGAATGGATGGGAAAGTGATGGGAAAAGTACTAAAGAATTTTTCTTATATAGATCTTAGGGCTGGAAATATCTGTTTCTTGCAATTAAGCCTAAAGAAAGGCAATTTTCCTAAAAATTTATTGGCAATTTTATCATGCAATGTCCTCATTTTGAGTCAGTGTCCCTATGTCAGGCCTTTTTTATGATTTTTTTTTCATTGACAAATAAATTTCCTTATGTCAAGTTGTCCCCATGTCAAGGTGTCCGCATGTGGGGGTCTCACTACAGATTGATGACTCTTTGTAATTGGTTATTCTCGTGACATTGCAGAAGGGCTGGCGCAGTTTGCACGTCGCTGCAGAAAGAGGACACGTGAACGTCGTCAACGCCCTGCTGCAGAAGGGCGAGCAAGTGGACTCCCTGACAAACGTACGTGAGACCTTGTTTCCGTTTATCGTCATCCATGTCATCCTGTCTGCGTGTACAATATATACTGTACGTGCAAGTACAATGCAGTACTGCATCTAAACAGTGAAGAAGCCTACGCAGGACCGTCTTATGCAATCATGCAGATACATAGCGTATACTGTGTAGAATACACATACGAGTATGTACAAGCAGGAGCCGTGTTCATACGACGACGGCTACGACCTCTTTTGCTGAATCTCTTCTATAGGCGGAGACGAGAATAACATTTGTCTTTTTTTTCTCGAGTATTGATGACTTCGTTCCTTACTATTATAGGACCTTGCGTGTACAGTATCCTGTATACAAGTATATGTAGCCTATCATTTTCTTTCGGATGCAGCCATGATGATGATGATGATGCATGTACGTATGTGTGCAGGATCGCCTGACCCCACTGCACGTGGCCGTGCTGTCCGGCAAGCCCGCCGTCGTGGAGTCGCTGCTCGGGCACGGCGCCCAAGTTGAGCTCAAGGGTAAGACGTTTAGAAAGAGGCAAATAAGGAAGAAAAAATATATGAATACAGTGAGACCCCAAGATGCAGATGTATTTGGTGCATCAAGAGTGTCCCTAAGTCAAGTCTCATTTTCCCTTAGACTTACTTTAAATGATTTTTAAATTGATGTTTTATGCACAAAATATTCACCATAATTCCATGAAAATAAAAATTTGTCTCGCAATTTAAACTGATTCCAATCAATATATTTCAACACAATATGGGCATTTAGGGAATTGAATACTGATACCTTTGTATACAATACACAAAAATATTGGCATCCTCTGTTAAAATAACATTCAAGTAAAAAAGAGAGAAAGAAGTCCCTCTATGCTGGAGGTATTTTTTTAATTAGCTAAATGGGTGGTAAATTGGTGGAAGAAATGCCCAAGAACTTTTCTTACTATCAATTTTGGGGGGGTTGGAAATTTCTGTTTCTTGTAATTTGGCCTGAAATGTATTTGAAATTGTGCAACAAAATGTCCCTATGTTGATTCAGTGTCCTCATGTTGGGTCTTTTTTATTTATTTTTCATGAGAAAATGAGTGTCCCTATGTTGAATTGTCCACAGGTTGAGGTATCCGAATGTGGGGTTCTCACTATGGTACTGGCAAATGTATATACAATATATTTTTACAGTTAATATATACATGTATATATCTGTATGTACATATCAGGTGGCAAGAGCCTGGAGGCGCCTCTTCACCTGGCCGTGCAGACCCCCGACGGCGACAAGTGCGCCGAGATGCTCATCAAGTGTGGAGCCAACGTGCGGGCGAGGACGGAGGACCTGCGCACGCCTCTGCACATTGCAGCACGAGCGGGCAACATCCGGTGTCTGGCCCTGCTGCTCAACGAGGGGGCAGAGCCGACAGACAAGACGCAGGTTATTATTGCACTATATGTATACTGTATACAGTACTCTGTCTATGTGTACTGCATACATATACAGTATATTGAGGTAGAATCTCATTTTAAAAAATCTGGTTAAAACAAATTTGTTGATGTAACAAATTTTTTTCTTGGTCCTAGCAGTTTCCCATTGGTGTAATGTTATAAAAATTTTTTTATAACAAAGTAATTTTAGGCTGTAATCTCATTATACCAAATTTTTTCCATGATTATGTGCACAGCCCATATAGGGAATGCTCAAGAAATGGCAGAAATTGAAGGAAAAATTAAAAGATGCAGCATTACAAATTCATAAAAAAAATCTTCATGCAAAGAAAACTTGCTATCCAAAAAATACACAACAGCTAGGACATATTTTTTTAAATTCTTTAGCGCATCCATTTTAGAATATGCCTTTTTCAAATAAACAGTATGTTAGAAGAATGTTCCTCTATTTTAAAAAGAGCCATGAGTGGATAAGTTGATTGAGAAGGAAATGGAGCATGTTTACCATACATAATTTTGTTTTCATTTTTCATGACCAGCACTACTCCAGTACAAATGTTTGTTTATTTTAAGGAGAGTAATTTTTATATTAATGGATTTCTCTTCATTTCATCAGAGGTAATAAATAATTATGCTAGGTCTTGCATTCTGGGGTTTAGAAGCATTTCAAAGTATGTATTCCCCATTTCCATTAAAATTGCAGTCTTAAATGTGCTAAAAATCATTCATCTTGATACAGCAAATTTTTTTTTACAACAAATTTTTTCTCAAATCCCAAGGAGTTTATTGTAACAAGATTTTACTATATATAAACAGGTGAACCTTGATAACTCGAACCTCCCAAAGTCAAATACCCCCCTAAGTCAACTTTAACTCGATCCTCCCAAAGTCAAATACCCTCCCCCCCCCCCAAGTTGAATTTTTTTTCAGGTCCCATTTGAATCCCCTTAGATCCAATAGAGTAAAAACCTCCCTAAGTCAAAAGCTTTTCCCCTCAAACCTCCATAAGTTGAATTTTTGTGGCCTGTTGACCATTATTTTCTTGAATAAAGAAAAAAATCCATAAATTTATAAGTTTTAAAGGAAGTGAAAGACTCAATTGGGCAAATGAACCCCTGCCTTTAAGTTCAGCAGCCTTTTAACTCATTTAAGAGGTCATTTAAGCCCCAAAATATTGCCGTTGACATTTTTTGAAGTTTCCCAGAAAATGGCGGGGCCTTTTCTTGTACTTCCAATGTATATAATTCAAAACCTCTCTAAGTCGAATTTTTTCAGTTCCCTTGAAATTCGACTTAGAGAGGTTTGACTTATGTATATATATATATGTATACTGTATATGACAATGAAAGAAATGAGAATACAGTACATCCTTCCTCCTCCTTATTCCTCCTCCTCCTCCTCCTCCGCATCCGAATAACATATGCTGCAGAATGGAGACACCGCTCTGCATTTTGCCTGCACCGAGTGCCATCTGCCGGCCGTGACCGCCTTGCTGGACCATGTGAATAAGCAGCAGCGAGGCAATGGCAATAACGCGGATGCCGCAGCAGCAGCAGCCCTGTCGGCCTTGGTCAACACGCAGAACGCCAAGGGAGAGACGGCAGCCCACCTTGTGGCACAGCAAGTGCCTCGTCATTCATCGCCGCCGACGACGCAGGACGACGTACTGGATGATGAGCATCAACAAAAGCTGCCAAATAAGGTAGACGTCAATGACGACGACGACGACGATCCAGCGCGGAAGATCATGCGACTCCTGCTCGACGCCGGGGCTGACGTGGGCACGCTTTGCACGCGACAGGTACATTGTTGTGTGTACGCGTCGAGTATTTTTTCGTCTCCTTATTCTAATGTGATTTCTTTTTTTTTCGGTTCCCCAAAGTATCAATTCGATATGAGGCGACGCCCGTCAACAGCAACAAAATTCATTCTGTGACGACTAATTAATTAATTAATTCATGTCAGGATTTCCACCTAGCTGTATACGAGGGTTCTAACAAAAGTTCTCTGAGTGGCAATGAAAATGGCCTACAGTTGAGCTAAAAAGTTTTTTTTCTTTCGGGAAAACATATTCTTTGGCACACAAAAAATATCAGCCCTGTTGGAAAAATTCAAAAAATTTGCAAAAAAGGGCTGATATTTTTTTGTGTGCCAAAGAATATGTTTTCCCGAAAGAAAAAAAATTTTCAGAATTTATACGAAAATGGCCTACAGTTAAGCTGAAATTTTTTTTTTCTTTCGGGAAAACATATTCTTTGGCACACACAAAAGTATCAGCCCTGTTTGAAGATTTTTTGCATTTTTCCAACAGGGCTGATATTATTTTGTGTGCCAAAGAATATGTTTTCCCGAAAGAAAAAAAAAGTTTTCAGCTCAACTGTAAACCATTTTCATTGCCACTCAGAGAACTTTTGTTAGAGTCCTCATATGGTGGATATGAAGAAGGAAAAGAGACAATAATACACTGTACCGTAAATAAACACCTCCACTGCGAACATGAATCTGAACAAAGATCTCTCCAATGACCCTTGTCAAGAATTACTGGAACACGGGATTTTTTTTCTTTTGAAGACAAAGAATGCATCAAATAAATTCATCTTCCCGGATTTGGTGTGTAATAGTGACGCTACAACAGTCCTGTTCGGCTCGGCTGAATTCGTTGAGACTTTCCTGGCATCCCTGCTAAAACATTTTTGGGGATATTCATTCATTAGCGGGGTGGACGCATGAAATGAGAATCATGAAGTCGTCGACGTTATTGAAACTCCCTTGTTTTATGCTGTACTGTACTGTACTGTACGAGTGTAGTATAAGTATAGTGAATTATTGTATATTGTCATCACTCCTGACATATATGTGCAGCAAAAGTTCATGGAAATCACGAAGCGTTGCGCATACGTATCCTTTCTTATTTTTTGTGTATCCTTATAGGTACTGTTCGTACAGTACAAGACATAAAGTACCGGACTCGAAAATATTATTCGAGTAAGTGCTATCTCTCATAAAACAGGTGTAACCCGACTATTGATTGCTGATTAATCAAGTTATACATGTACAGTGAGACCCCCATGCAGATGCGGACATAATTGGTGCATCAAAAGTGTCTGTAAGTTGAATTGCCCCTAAGTCAATTCTTGTTTTCCCAAAGACTTACATTGTGTAATTTTTTAATTGGTGTTCTATGGAAGAAATATTCTTCAGAATTCCATGAAAAAAGGTTTTTTTCCACTTGAATTTGAATCAGTCATTATTTTAAAAACCTAGTAAGAACATTTGGAGCATTGAATAGTATGCCAGTGTATAGTTCATTGTTGGCATCTGTAAAAATGACATCCAAGTCACAGAGAGAGAAGGAAGTCCCTCTGTGCTACAGGTAATTTTTTTGAAGTAGCTGAATGTATTAGAAAGTGATGGGAAAAGTACCAAAGAATTTTTCTCACACAGATCTTAGGGTTGGAAATAATAGTAAAAGTCAATTTTCTTGAAATTGTAATTGGCAATTTTATCATGCAATGTCCTCATGTCAAGTCAGTGTCCCTATGTCAGGGAATTTTAATTTTTTTTATTTATCTGGAAAATTCAACGTAGGGACATTTATTTTTTAATGAAAAAGGCCTCACATACGGACACTGACTCAGCATGAGGACATTGCATGATAAAATTGCCAAACAAAAACTTAGGAAAATTGACTTTTATTAGGCTTAATTGCAAAAAGCAGATATTTCAAACCCTGAGATCTATACTAAAAAAAAGTATTTGGTAATTTTTCCCATCACTTTCCCATCCATTCATCTAATTTAAAAACTCATGTATAGCAGAGAAGTCTCTTTGTGGCTTGGGTGCTATTTTTACAAATGCCAACATTTCAATGAAATTTCTGATTCGGCTGAAAAGAAATTCACTAAATAAAATTCAAGTGCCAAAAAAGTTTTTTTTCATGAAATTCTGAAGAATATTTCTCTCATTAAATCCCAATTAAAAATTATACAATGTAAGTCTATGGGAAAACATGACTCAACTTAAGGACAGTTCAACTTAGGGAAACTGTTGATGTCTGCCTCTGGGGGTCTCACTGTGCATATAAAGTACTATGTACAGTTCTACATGTACTGTATATGATGACTTCAATATACAGTGCTGAACACCTGTATTTTATGTATATAGAGCCGGGAGACGGCCCTCCATTACGGCGCCCGGGCCGGCAACGCGCCTGTGCTGGGCGAGATGCTGTCCTTGCTGCAGCAGGAGGGCCGCGGGGCCCGGCAGTCGTCCCTCCTGCGCACGGCCAGTGTGAACCGGCAGTCCACCCAGGGCTGGTCCCCGCTGTTGGCTGCGGCCGACGCGGGCCACGTCCGGGCTGCTCGCATCCTGCTCGACCACCACGCCCGCGTCGACGTGTTCGACGCCGAGGGACGAGCAGCGCTGCATCTGGCGGCGGGCCGAGGCCACGCGCCGCTCTGCGACCTCTTGCTGGACCACAAGGCCTTCGTCAACGCCAAGGTGATGACGGGCCAGACGGCGCTGCACATGGCAGCCACCGGCGGCTTCAACGACCTCGTGCGGCTCCTTGTTGTGAGGCACAATGCCATGTTGGAAGCACTCACGCTGGTGAGACTGAGCTTCCTTTATTGATGAGAGATTGTGGAACAATAAGTATACCGTATAAAGCGATTCTCTTTCATCATGTACCAGTTGAACCTCTCTAAGTCGAATTTCAAGGGACCAGCAAGAGAATTTGACTTAGGGAGGTTTTAACTTGGGGAGGTTTTGAATTTATCTACAAATAAAGGCCGTTTTTTGTTGGGAAACATATAAAAATTGCTCAAAATTTTGAATTGTAATCTTCTGAGGCTGAAATTGCTTCTTAAATGAGTTGAAAGCATACTGAACTTGGAGGCAGGGTTCATTTTCCCAATTAAGTCTCTCACCTCATTTTAAAACAAATCAAATTATGTTTTATTGCATTTTTTCCTGGATTTGTCAAGAAAATAAAAGCCAACAGGCCACAGAAAATTTGACTCATGGAGGTTTGAGGGAAAAAGCCTTTGATTTGGGGAGGTTTTGAGTTTATCTTCAATTAAAAGCCCTTTTTTGTTGGGAAACATAAAAATTGCTCAAAATCGTAAATTGTAATCTTCCGAGGCTGAAATTAATTTTTGCAAAATGTTGTGTCACTGGGCACTTGGAATAAAAAACCTCCTTTTTTACCAAGGGCTAAGTTGGGAAAAAGTCCAAGATTTTTTTCTAATGCTGCAGAAAATTTTCAACCAAAATTAAAAAAAAAAATCCCTGGCTGGGTGGTGTTTCTTCAAGCACTCCTTGCATAGGATTTGCGGGGGAAAATCTTGGGAACAAAAGAAAATTTGCCTCCTGGATTTTTCCCACCTTAGTCCTCCTCAATCTGGGTGCTTTTCAGTAACCTTGGGTCAAACTGAAATGTGCTGCACCCATGGAAAAATACCGACTCTGCTGCACACTGAGAAAGAACCCTCTGCTGTCCAAGGGTTAAGTCTCTCACCTCATTTTAAAACAAATCAATTTATGTTTTATTGCATTTTTTTCTTTCCTTTGTCAAGAAAATAAAAGCCAACAGGCCGCAGAAAATTTGACTTATGGAGGTTTGAGGGAAAAAGCCTTTGACGTGGGGAGGTTTTAAGTGCATTAGTTCTAATGGAATTCAGACAGGACCTTGAAAAAAATTCGACTTTGAGGGGTTTTTGACATGGGGAGGTTCAAGTTATTGAGGTTCACCTGTATATATATATATTTGCTATTTTTCGTTTTTGAAAGAGAAAAGAAACACCTCTGCACGCTGCTGCCGCGTCCGGCCAACTCGGCGTGTGCAAGACACTGGTGGAGCTGGGTGCCAACGTGAATGCCGTGGACGCCGAACGACAGACGGCACTGCACCTGGCCGCCGAAAACAACCACTCGGACGTGGTCAAGTTCTTTCTGAATCTCCAGCCGGACCTGGTGACGACGGCGAATAAGGTGCAGTCAGGCATCTTGAGTTGACTTCTTCTTCTGACTACAGTGCAGTACTGTACTGTATTATTATCATTGGTTCTGTTTCACAGTCAAGCCCAAATAAGACGCCACCATTTGTCCAGAGCAATTTTGGCGGTTTATCAAATATTTCATTTTGAATTAGTCCATGAAAAATGCTCAAGTTTCCTCAAAAATAGATAGAGATACAGGTTTTCTTTAGAAACTTAATTTCATTTAAAATCATTTGATCAAAAATACTTGATTTTCCTTCAAAGGTAATAGAAATACAAGTTTTCCAGGAACTTCAGTAATTTTCCAAAGAGTATTGCTGTGATTTATGCATTACTCCTTCAGAAAATTAATTTTTCTGTATCAATTTATTCAAATTTTAAAATTAGGTTCATATAATGTTCAAAGTTTTTGAAAAATGAAGATTGTCATTTTGTTTTCTTCTTACCAATACAAGATCCAGGATAGAAAATAAAATTGTACCCCAATGTTGGCATTGTAAGAAAGACAACACTAATACAAAACAGCACTTTTGTTTCATCACTAATGCTGGCGGATGGCGGTTGGCGTCTTATCAAGGTTTTCTATGGCATTTAGTGTTGAGGAGATTTGTTACATTCAAAATGTTGGCTCTTGCCAAGGGTGGCACTTTATTGGGGGGCGTCTTAACAGGGTTCAACTGTATCATCAACATCAACCCTTGACTTCTTCACAGTGCAGTACAGTATTATTAGTACTGTATTATCTGTGGGGGATTTAAATAGACTGATAAATTACAGAGCTTAAAATGATCCTGTGTGAAAGGGCAGTTTTGCAGCCCCTGAGGAAATTTTACTTTAAGAAAACTATTGGAATGCAGACAGAGAGGACCACAGCAAAAACGTTCAATTTGTTTGAGCGCTGAAGTGAGATGTGAGACATATATATTTTATCATGCATCACATCACAGGTAAAATAAAATAGGTTGAAATACACCATACAATCATTGAAAAAAAATTGCGGCAGTCCGCAAATAAAAAAAACTGGCTGAAATAAAAATATAATCGCAAGAATCGCCAAAGGAAAAATTCTTCGCGTATGGCGCAACTCCCAACTCGTAAATTTACAAAACTTGTAACTTTGTCAATTTTGAAGATAAAAATTTGCGCGACATTTTAAATTGAAGATCGCCAAGTTTTCCATCTTTTTTAATGAAACACAAAAATTGCTGCGGCTAACGGGTTTCCAAGCTAAAACAATTGTTTTGACATGAACTTTTCTTGGGTAATAAAAATCTCTAGCATCCTTCCTCTGAGATGGTTCTCTTTACTTCAGCTGATGCTGGTGAGGGAAAACAGTGAGTTCAACAAAGGTGTTCGACTCTTATATCATTAGGATTTACTTTTCTGCCGCAATTGTCATCAACACCAACCCTTGAATCCTCTATAGATGGGCAACACTTGCGCTCACATCGCCGCCGAAAAGGGCTCGGCCGAAGTCATCAAGGAGCTGCTCAAGTTCAACAAGCACGCGGCGACGTCGGCGCGGAACAAGTCGAGCGACGCGACGCCGCTGCACTTTGCCGCCTCTGGCGGCCACGTGGAGCTCGTCAAGATCCTCCTGGACAACGGCGCCTCCGTGACGGACGAGAACAAGACCGGGGAGACGCCGCTGCACTTGGCTGCGAGGTACGGGCACCTGGGCGTCGTGGAGGCGTTGCAGGCAGCAGCAGTGGCGTCCCCCAGGGCGCCGTCCCGCAAGACCGGACTCTCGCCCATCCACGTGGCGGCCTTCTTCGGCGAGGCGGACGTGGTGCAGGAGTTGCTGGCCCACGTGCCGGCGACAGTCACGTCGGCCACACCCGCCCTCGTGTCCGCCTCGCTGGTCAGCGAACTGGGCTCCGAGTCGGGCCTCACGCCGCTGCACATGGCCGCCTACTCGGGCCAGGAAAGCGTCGTGCGCATCCTGCTCAACTCCCCGGGGGTCCAGCACGACGTCACGACGAATTTGCACGTGAGAGCACTGTGTATATATTGCAGTGCAGCAGGACATGAAGCATATTACTTTCATTTCTAAATACAGTCAAACCCCAATTAGATGCCACCATTTGTCCAGAGAAGTTTTTGCAGTTTATCAAATACCGTATTTACTTGAGTACCCCACACCCTTGAGTAAGGCACGCATAGGGGTTTTTCAGTTCAAAATTTGGCTAAAATTGTATCCCCTACTAAGACGCGCACCCCATTTTTAGTGCCTCTAAAACCACAAAATTTCAAGAATAAAAACAAGAAATTTGACTTTTGATGTGAATTGAACATGAATCTGATCAATTTTCAAATTTTTCAGTAAAAGAAAGTTTTCTTGGTACATTTGTTGCAAATTTCTCCATTATAATCAAGTATAATTAACACACAACTTCCAGAAAACTTCTTGAAATTTTTGTACTCGCTTATGATGCGCACCCCTGTTTTTCTTCTGAAATTTGAGAAAAAAGGTGCGCGTGGTACTTGAGTAAATATGGTATTCCATTTTGAATTAGTTCATGAAAAATACTCAATTTTCCTCCAAAATAGATAGAGATACAGGTTTTCTATAGAAACTTCAGTAATTTTCGAAAGAGTATATTGCTTTGATCAATGGATTTCTCTTTCAGAAAATTGATTTTGCTGCATTTATTCCTTCAAATTTTGAGATTAGGTCAATATTGTTATCCTTATTGGGAGAAATCGATAAAAGACTCTGTCGCGACTCTAGAAGAACGTCTTCTTCAGGATGCAATAAATCTTAGTCAATTTTGATTCCCAAGAATAAACTTTCAACGAGAAGATTATTGTTCCTGTAAACCCGAGTTTCGAAGTGAATAAAGTCTTCTCGTTATCAAGACGGATACGTATATTTCTTNATTCACAAGGTTCAATTAAAATTTCCACAACCACACCCCCTTCCCACCCAACCCAAATGCACTCAATGACATTTAATTACTTCAGAGCAGGAAAGCACAAATTGATAAAAAAAATAAATAAAATGCAATGCAACATGAGTTACAATTGGACATCTGACATGTATGCATTCAGTGACACATTCATTCCCTGACATTGGTAACGAAGTATATGTAAAAATTAATTTGAAATTAATTCAAAATGTTGGTGGTTGCTGAGGGTGGTGCTTTATCAGGGGGCGTCTTAATGGGGCTTGAAGGTACATTGCTGTAATGTATGTACTGTACTGTACAATACTTGAATAACTACGTGAAACTGATGATGTTGATTCTAATGGCGGGTAAACAAAACCAACAACAAAAAAGGGCTACACTCCTCTCCACTTGGCTTGCCTCAATGGTCACCTGGCTGTCGTCGGGCTGCTGCTGAGCAGGTCCACGGACCAGCTGGACCAGGGCGACAAGCGCGGCAGGACGGGGCTCCACTTGGCCTCGTCCGGCGGGCACGCGGAAATGGTGGCCCTGCTCCTGGGCCAAGGAGCAGACATTAACGCCACAGACAGAGTGAGTGACACAGTGTATACCTTGGATATGTTTGCGCTTTTCTGATAATGATGATACGGTAATTCCTTGATGAGGATTATCTTCATCATCATCATATTCTTAGTGTCCTGAAGCGTAAAAGAACACCAATACAATGCAGTGCAGGGATCTGTGTATCACTTCCACCCGTCAACTCGGCTGCTAAAGAGTGGTGTCATCAACCATTCCTTGTCTGGTTTTTTTCCTATGTATATATTGACCAGTCATTCCCCTTTTTACCTTTGCTGTTTTCTTATATGCTGTTCACCTTTTGCACAAGGCCCCAAAAAATGTGTAATACTGTAATACTATATTCATTGCTGGACAAAGTCTTGACAATCATCCTTGTGTAAACAAAATATACTTGTATCAGAGGAGTCTTGTTGATTTGTTGATTCATTCACAGTCCTAGCCACTAGATTGAAACTTTTTGTAGGAATGTTATCTTGCCCAAGTGGGGAGCTATTCTTTGTGTGACCCCACAAATGCTGCACACTGGGTTCACAATTGGTGTAAATGGGATATTCTGGGGTTACAAGCATGCACCTCTGTATAAAAAATTTTGCTACCATTCATGGGCTACATTTGGTGCACAAATGTGACATAACATGAGTATCACACAAATGCACCAACTGTAACCTGGGTGTAACTTATTTGTTTACAAATGTGACCCTGAGTAATCCTGGTGTGAACACACAATTGGTGCACATAAGGGATATCCATGTGCTACAGAAGAACTTTGGTACACTTCAGGTGCACAGCAGGGTCACTGTGTAGAATTACAAACATATCCCCAGTGTGCACCAATTTCCCCACTTGGGTGCTGATGTGTAGTANAGGGTCACTGTGTAGAATTACAAACATATCCCCAGTGTGCACCAATTTCCCCACTTGGGTGCTGATGTGTAGTAACAAAATTGGCCTCTCTGAACTTACTGCATATAAGCGTGCATGGTGGTGCTGTATCAGCATGTATTGTGTACAGAAATGTATACTGCATTTGCCTGCTGCATGGAGTTGGATCATGTACATGATGGGTCTTTCATAGTCATGAAAAAAATTAATTGAGACGCTATGTTAGTGAAGGTATGAATGAGTAAAGGGCCAGTGTGCAAGCAGTACATTGTTCTGTACTGAGAAAGAATATACTGTGAGACCCCAAGATGTGGACATAGTTGGTACATCAAGAGTGTTCCTAAGTTGAATTGTCCCTAAGTTGAGTCTTATTTTTTTCTCATAGACTTACATAATGTAATTTTTAATTTGTGTTTTATGGAAGAAATGTTCTTCAGAATTCTATGGATGGGGTAAGAATTATAAGATATAGGATCAGCAGATTGAGAGACACCTTGGGTCAATTAAACTACTCTTTTTTTTATTGACAACCCAACAATGTAATATGACATGATGATGATGATGCGTCACAATAATCATACCTGCGGTGGGAATGTTGGATTGGTTTGCAGAATGGATGGTCTCCGCTGCACTACGCGGCCAAGGCGGGTCATCTGGAAGTGGTCAAGCTGCTGGTGGAGAGTGGCGCCTCACCCAAGGCCGAGTCCAGGGACGGCAAAATCCCGCTGTGTCTGGCTGCTGCATCGGAGCGAAACGACGTCGTGTCCCACCTGCTGAGGAGGGACCACAACACCTACGCCCTTCTGGAAGACAAGAAGGTTTGTTTTGTGCGCATACTGCTGCTGCTTCTCCATCAGCGACAAGACAAATAATGACGACTGTACTGTTTTGTTGATTCCGTATGCATTAGTTCATTCTGGACCTCATGTGGTGCAGCCGCAAGGACAAACTGAAGCAGCTGACGGAATTCGTACTCGTGTCTGCTGCTCCTGTCGACACGGCGGCCAAGCTGTCCTACACGCTGCACTACTTGTCCCTGAGGGTGAGAATATAACACTCAAGACATGTGATCTACACAAAGTAGCTAGAATAAAGGACAATAACATGGTGGTGTTTTGTTCTGTTTGTATTGTGCATTTTGTGTTCAACAAAGGTTTGAATAAAAAAAAATGGCTGAAGACAGTGACGCACAAAAGATTTAAATTACAGTGATACCCCAAGATGAGGATGTAATTGGTGCATCAAGAGTGTCCCCAGGTCAAAATGTCCCTAAGTCAAGTCTTGTTTTCCCATAGACTCACAATACAAAATTTTTAATTGGTGTTTTTTGGAAGAAATTTTCTTCAGAATTCCCTGAAAAAAATTGTTTGCCACTTGGATTATTGAGTCAGTGTCCTCATGTTGGGCCATTTTTGTTAATTTTTTCTGGGAAAATAAGTGTCCCTATGTCAAATTGTCTGCAGGTTGAGGTGTCCACATGTCGGGGTCTCACTTTAAATGCAAAGTGTTGAACAAAGAATGGACAAATATTTATTCATAACCTTTAATGGAAAAATGATTTGCCTTGTTTGTCATGAAAAAATTTCAGTTTCCAAAGAATACAATTTTTGCTGGCATTTTAAGTCCAAACTCAAAGACTTGAGTACTATAAATTACTCTGAGAATTGCCAAGGTTGCTCAAAAAAGGGACTCATTTTTTATTTTTTTTTAAATTCAAAGGAGTCTAAAATTTTGAAGATTGTCAATAAGGAGTTAATTTATTTTCACCACCATTGTGGCCCATATAGAGAAGGTTTGCTTTTCAATTAATGTGGCCCTTGACCACTTTTGACTTGGGCACCACTGATTTGCAGGAAAAAGACCGATCAAAAGACCTGGAAGAGGCGGCCAAGTTCGCGGAGAACATGGCCAAGGAGCTGCTGTCCCTGGCTGCTGGCACAGCCAGCGCGGGCCTCCTGCTTCGGTCCATGGACCAGCGCGGCGTGGCCCTGCTGGACATCCTGCTGGAGCACGAGCAAAAGGAGGTGGTGGCCCACACGGCCGTGCAAAAGTACCTGGGCGAAGTCTGGCGCGGCCCGCTGGCCTGGTCCCAGTGGCACACGCTGCTCGTCTTCCTCCTCTTCCTCTTCTGCCCCCCGGTCTGGGTCGTCTTCTCCCTCCCGCTGGGCCACAAGTTCAGCCGCATCCCGCTCATCAAGTTCCTCTCCTACCTCACGAGCCACTTGTACTTTGTGGCCCTGCTCATTCTCACAATTGGTAAGCCTACTAGGTACAAGCACAGTACAGCACCGTACTTGTATTCCCTTACTCTATTCGGTCTGTCCTCTAGTCTCTGAACAATGTGTGGAACTATAGGCAAAAGATGAAAAATAATCCTGTATTGAAATTACAGCTCAGAGGAAAAGCGGAATTAATGAGTAAGCGAAGAAGACGAAGACACTGCTGTTCAATCATGTTGTTATTATCGCACAATTACGTATAGCACCTGTTGCATGCTGTGGACTTATTTCCTAAAGTTTGATGCGCGTTTCAGGATGAGTGCTGCACGGTGAAGCCATTAAAAAAAAAAAGAAAGATACTGTACCAACAAACACAAACTGCAATGGGTGGGTTTGCTGCCTCTATACTGTATTCACTGCTTGATTATGGTAGTACTTGCAAAGTCAGTTAATTTGAAGTACCGTATTTACTCAAGTACCACGCGCACCTTTTTTCTCAAATTCAGAAGAAAAAAATGGTGCGTGTCATAAACGGGTACAAAATTTTCAAGAAGTTTTAGAAGGTAATGTGTGCATTATACTTGATTAGAATGGGGAAATTTGGAAAAAATGTAACAAGAAAACTTTTTTGTACTGAAAAAGTTAAAAATTGATCAGATTTTTGTTCAAATCATGCTGAAAGTAAATTTTTGTGTTTTTATTTTCGAAATTTTGTGGTTTTAGATTCACTAAAAATGGGGTGCGCGTCTTACTTGTGGATAAGATTTTAGCCAAATTTCCAACTGAAAAACCCCTGTGCGTGCCTTACTCCAGGGCAGGGGTGTTAATTGCAGCTGAAAAGTGTGTGCCGCAAACGCAAGTGCACTTCAAAATTTTTACCACAACTGCACACAGAATTGCAAAGCCACTAAAAAAAATTCCTCGCAATAGCACCCCCCGCAAGTGTATTCAAGTATAATACAACTGTTGCAAAGACATTCGCAATTGCATTTTAGAAAATAGCTGTAAGGTATGTCACTTACACAATTGCAATAAAATATGCAATTCATGCAAAGGCATTCTAAAATTAAGAAATAATTCATGTGCAAACAAATCCATTAGAAGTGTGCCCAGCAACAAAATTGCTGATGCAATTGCAGTAGCAAATTTGAAAAATGAAATTCAATTGAAGAAAAATAGCAAGGAGAATTGGTGATTTTAAGTTTTGTCAATGGTTTTGGGATCGACTCAGACAAAATGTATTTTCTGCAATGAATTTGACCTACTTGAATTTATAATTTGAAATTCTTCACATTTATTCCAACTCTGAAAATTAATTTCAGAAGAACCAAAAATTCCCAATACATATTAAAAAGGATTTCAGTTATGCAAGAGAATTGAAAGCTATCCTCTGGATTTGGATCATGAATTTCTTCAACATTCAATGTGATTCCAGATCTAGTTCTACAGTATTAAATTTAAAAAAGGAAGAATTCAAATTATGACAAACAAAAACATTCAACATTAATCCAATAGAAATGTGTATGCCTTATCAATATCTGATAGCAGGCATACTTTTCCAAATATTCCTGTATGTGCAAATGCTTGGGGATTCTGGATTTTTAAAGCCCAAAATTTTTTCAAATGATCCCTCTTTTTCATTTGAATTCCTTTCCAAAGGAAAGATGGGTCTTCCATTTACTTTCTCAATTTTTTGCTGAACAACAGGCAAGAGTTATTGTTTCTCAAATTGAGGGGATGGGGGAACTGAGAAGGAAGGGGAGCTGAGGCAGAAGGGGGAGCTAGGGGTGCAACTTCACCCCCCTCTTTTCCTGGCTTCTTGTCACCCTTTTAGAGTATCAGATATCCCCACCACCAGCTGTTTGCAGTAGAAATACTAAAAGCTTCCCAAAAATTGTGGAGTGGAACTGTGTAGGAAATGTTGAGACTTGAGATGAAAAAATGGCAAAACAACCTATTTCCTGATCTTGGGAAGTAAATGAATTTTCATTTTAAAAACAGGTGGTGGTATAGGGTTATTTTGCTCCTCATAAGGTTGAAAAAAAAAACAGGAATACAGGATATAGAGTATCACACTTCCCCCTCAGTTTGAGAAACAATTACCTCTGCCTGTTCAGCAAAAATAAATAACAGTGAAAGCCCACCTGCCCTTGGAAATATAAATCAAATAAAAAAGTGATATAATGTGGTCCATTTTCAAAAACTACTTTCTGGTCAACTGAATTTTGTTTTACACCTAGTCCATCTGTACCTTAAAGTTTATATTTGAATTAGCATGTTTATATGAGAATTTCTCACAAAAATAATTTCCATTATGCCATTTCAAGTCATGAGCATGTAGAAGAGTCCTGAAAAAATGCAGTCCCAAAGCCTGAATTTAGCTAATTGGCATTTCCATTTTTCCTGGATTCCAAAAATGCAGTTGTTGTCTTTCAGTAATCACATGAAAGGAATAAATATTAATATAAATATATAGTTATCATCTGAAAAATTGAAATAGTGAATGATATTTGCCTAAAGTCCAAATTTTGAAGCTTATTGCTCCTCTACACCTTTTTTCTATTTTGAACCTTGGTCATTTGCGTGAACTAAGGGTTCATTTTTTCCCCTCCCACTGCCCCCGCAACTCACCTTCTTCCCTCACCTCCTCCCGCAAGAAAACACCTCGCAACCCTCCCATTTTTTTCATCCCTCGCAAGGAACCCAAATGCAGTTGCGTTTGCGACGCAATTGCGTTTGTGATTCCTTGCGATGCAATTAACACCCCTGCTCCAGGGTGAGTGGTACTCAAGTAAATACGGTATTATTGTGTATAGTAATGTTTGTAAGTAAAGGTACTTGTATACAGTATTGACTCTTGATTGAACAACAACAAAATCAACAAAGAATGAAAACAATGACAATGACGGACAACGAGTATATAAACAAGCAATATGCTGCAAGGATTGCATCTCCCTGGATCGTTTCAAAGTACTGTACTTTACTATAAGAAGCAAAAAAAAAAAAAGAAGAGAGAAAGGCTTGATGGTGGGACTTTCTTGCTGTTGCCGTCATAACCGACGCCAGCAGCGGCAAGTGTATTTCACTGTTGTGTGCCGTTTCCTCAGCACCCACAGCACCCCATGTATACATCAAGCTGGAAAATAGGGGAAGAATAATAGCAATGCACCAATGAGGTTCCCCATCAGCTCGTACTGTATTAATAATACAATTTATGGTCATAAGTACAGTACTGTATTTTTGTATTTCTGCATCAGTGACCCCACTTCGGCCAATCTGGAGGAGCACCAGCATGATCCCGATCTGGTACGAGTGGATCCTACTGGCCTGGATCTCGGGCTTGCTGCTGTCGGAACTGACGAACCCCGGGGACAGGGCGGGCCTGGGCTGGCTCCGGGTCATGATTCTGGTCGTGTGCGGACTGGCCATCGGGATCCACCTCGTGGGCCTGGCCCTGGACCATCCGGACAGGGCCGTCATTTTGTACATCCGGAACCAGGTACGCACTGATGTGCACTTGTATAAACCGTGTTTACATGCGATAATTTTTCTGTATAATCACTTATTGTTTGCTCGTTTCTTTGCAAATACACTCTATACATGTACTGTACTGTACTGTACTGTACTTGTATATACAAGGGTTCTAACAAAAGTTCTCGGAGTAGCAAAGAAAATGGCCTAAAGTTGACCTGAAACAAATTTTTTCTTTGGGGAAAACATATTCTTTGGCACATAAAAAAATATCAGCCCTATTCAACAAATTTTTTTTGTATTTTTTCATAATTCACCCTGGTAGAGTTTTACTCTCCACTCAAAAGACAAGGTGCCCTATTTTTGTTGTAGCCCAGCTTTCCCCTCAGAATTTTTAAAATCAGCTTGACATTCTTTCTAAGGGTTGCCTCCAGGTCATCCAAGGCAATTCCGCAATTTTCATCAGAAGACGCCTTCACAGCGGCCACTTTGAGGGCTGTGAAGGCAGCTGTCAATGAAAATGAAAGAATGCCAAGCTGATTTTAAAAATTCTGAGGGGAAAGCTGGGCTACAACAAAAAAAGGCACCTCGTCTTTTGAGCGGAGAGTAAAACTCTACCAAGGTGAATTATGAGAAAAAATATTTAAAAAAAATTGTTGAACAGGGCTGATATTTTTTTATGTGCCAAAGAATATGTTTTCCCCAAAGAAAAAATTTGTTTCAGGTCAACTGTAAGCCATTTTCATTGCTACTCCACGAACTTTTGTTAAAACCCTCATACTGCTTGTACAGTTCCTGGCCCTCGCACTTCTCATGTGCTGCGTCCAGCTCCTCGACTTCCTCACATTCCACTACCTGTTTGGGCCGTGGGCCATCATCATCTCCAACCTCATGGTGGACCTCGGCCGGTTCCTCGTCATCCTCTTCATCTTCATCTTTGGCTTCTCCATGCACGTGGCGGCCATCTATCAGCCAGTGGTGCCGCTCTACGCTGCCCACGCCAACGGGACAGCCATCGGGGACGGATATCCTCCGCAGGGTATATGCATATATATACTGCATATGTAGAAGAAACACTCTCATTGTACTTCAGCAATTGAGTTGTTCATATACAGTGAGACCCCCACATGCAGACATAATTGGTGCATCGAGCGTGTCCCTAAGTTGTTGAGTCTTGTTTTCCCATAGACTTACATGATATAATTTTTAATCGGTGTTTTATGAAAGGAATATTAATCAAAATTCCTTTCAAAAAATGAGGGAAAAAATTCTGCTGATGAAAAATTATTCACTCAGGGTTTTTCAAATCATGAATAACATTTGAAGCATTGGGGACATAAAGTATTCACAAAATGCAAAATTTCTGTGCTACTTCTGAATGTTAAGATCCATCAATTCAGCAACTGTCCTCTTCTCTTCCTTTCTTCTTCAGCTGTGGCATCTTTATGGTTTCTTTTTCTTGAGTTCCACAGTTGGCACATTCCTGATTATTTCAGATGATTTGTTGTTTTAGAGGACATTTTCCGCTTTTTTTTTATCTAGCCTTCTTGAAATGAACCTATAAAAATTAGCACTTTGTCAAGCAAGAGCTGAGAATAATGTTTAAAAAAATTCTTTTGAGGAACATAGAGGGAAAAGTATCGCGGTAAAAATGCTGTACCTCTGTACACTATTAAACATTGATATGTTAGCATTTCCTTTAAAAATTAAATTAGTCAAGAAAAAAGGAAATCCCTTCTCTCTTGAGAATCTCTATACTTGAGGTAATTTTTTTAATTAGCTTAATGGATGGGAAAATGATGACAGAATTTAAAAACCCTTTTTGTCACATAGATCTTACAATCCTATGGTTCTGTATAATTGTTCCTGTAGTAACTGTGCCAACTTAAAAAAGTCGATTTTCCTAAAATGTTCATGTCCGCAGGTTTAGTCAGTGTCCTCATGTTGGGCCTTTTTCAATGGGAAAGAAAGTGTCCCTAAGTCAAATAGTCCACATGCTGAGGTGTCCGCATGTGGGATCTCACTGTTCAGCTGTGGCGTACCAGCGAAAACTGTACAGTACAGTACAGTACATACATATTATTACATATCTACAGATGCCCCGGTCCAGACACCCATCGACACCTTCGAATTGCTCTTTTACGCCCTGTTTGGGCTCGTGGAGCCCGACTACCTGCCTCCAATGCACGCCCATCCCCCGTGGGCCAAGGAGATCATGAAGATCGTCTTTGGCATCTACATGATGGTCACGGTCGTTGTGCTCATCAACCTGCTCATTGCCATGATGAGTGACACGTACCAGCGAATCCAGGTACATTCATAAATCCTGTTGAATATACGCGTTCATTACTGTACATGCTGGATGCTGTAAAAGTGCACTACATCACGTTTTGATAGATTTTTTGGGGGTGCGGGTGAAATTCGCCACAGCTGAACTTGCCACACTTCAACTTGCCGCACCCTAACTTGCCACTGTTGCAACTGACCACAGCCTGAAGTGACTGCAGTCACAAGTTGCCGCAATCATTTCTCACTGCAGTCACAACTTGCAGTACTTATAAGTTGCCACTCTTTCAACTTGCTGTACTTGATGATTAATTCAGAACTTTTCTAAACTTGATTCACAGCAGAACATTTTTGCAATTGTAAAAAATTGTACAATACAGTAGGATGAAAAAAAAAACCTTGCCATAAAAAATGCACATCATTTAGCAACCAATAGTAATAGTTCAGGATGAATGAATTCATTATACATCCAAAAAATGTTCACACAGCAGTATGCCCAGTTAAGAAGTGGAAGAATGTGGGAATTCCTTTTTTCCTGAAATTTTAGTCAATGCAATGGCAAATGGCAAATTCATGCAGTAAGTTGTGATAGCGGCAAGTCATTACAGTGGTGAGTTGTTGCAGCAGCAACTTCCACCTGCAGTGACTCATCAAAGCAGCAAGTTAACACTGGGGCAAGTTTAGTCTGGCAAGTTCAACTGCTTGTGGCAGGTTGGGTGTGCGGCAAGTTAGAAAGTGGCAAGTTTCATCAACACCCTTTTCCCGGTTTTATTGTACTGCAATACACTGCTGTATGAGGCTTTACAATAAGCAATGCACTCTACTGTACTGTACTTTATATAAAGTCAGTATGTATATACAGTACTGCATAAAGCACTTAATGACATCAAGGAGGGGGTTCTTGTTATTGCAATGACTCATATGCAACATCAAGTAAAATATTTTCAACATTGTTGATCAAAAATTTGAAAAAGAAAAAATTCATTAATACAAGTTTGATATTTTCTACAGCTTTTGGCATTTTTTCATACATTTTTGCCATGTTTTATTCAGTGCACTCCATAAAAAATTGGAAACTTTCCGCGGTTATGCTCAGCACTTTATAAGTCAGCCACTTCACTGCAGCAATAAACATGCTGGAAAGATCTGTGGAAAAAACAATAAAGGTTTTTGAAGAAAAGTTGGAAGATCCATGTAAAAGGACATTATGCTGAAAGTGCAAGTTTGCAGCACAAGATGGGAATTTCACATTTTAACAATAGCATACTGTATATGCTGGACAAATGTGCATTACACTGCTGTGAGATGAGGTGAAAAAGCAAAACTTGGACTCCATACTGCAATGAATGTCTCCACTTCTCATCATGCAGTGCACTGGAAAACCCATGGTTGAAATACAGGTGAACCTTAATAAGTTGAACCTCCTTAAGTCAAATCTTTTTCCAGTCCCTGACTGAATCCCCTTAGAATCAATACATTAAAAATCTCCCCAACTCAAATTATTTTTTCTCTAAAACCGCTGGAAGTCAAATTTTCTGAGGCCTTCTGGTTATTATTTCCTTGAAATATGAAAGAGATAATGCTTAAAACAAATAATTTGATGCATCTTGAAAGGACTTGAAAGACAAAAATAGCAAATGAACCCCTGCGCTCCAGTTCAGGAAGGGGTTAACTCATTAAGGAGCTAGTTTTGGCCCAGAATATCTTGATTGAGGATTTCCCACACTTTTTTCACTTCTCACAACAAAAGTGTTTTTTTCTCAACTAGAAACCTCCAAAAATCAAAACCTCCCTAAGTCAAAACCTCCCATAAGTTGAATTTTTTTTTGGTCCCTAGAAATTCTACTTATAGAGGTTCAACTGTAATTTTGAAGACATGTCCAAAAACTTAAAGCATCACATGTACATTATTGTTTTTTCTGCAAATTTTCACCAAGGTTAGATATATTGGACTGTATATTTGCTTACGCGTAGCATTATTCGTACATCCCTCGCACATACGTTGAGAGGTAACATCATTGTCCAGGAGCAACTCAACACAGCAGCTGTACTCCTTTACAGTACCTGCACATGTTTAATGTACTGTGCAATATTATTATAGTTTCACGAATTTAATTGGTACATCAGGGCTCGTGATTTTTCAATCAATCGTATATCATTCTCTGCATCCCTATATGCACTATAAAAACGTGTGGGTGTGGCGTACGTAATACTGTGTGCATTTCATTTGTATACACTGTACGTCAGTCCAAGTCAGACGCCGAGTGGAAGTTCGGTCTGGCCAAGCTCATCAGGAACATGAACAGGACCTCGGGCACTCCGTCACCACTGAACCTCGTCACCAAGCTCATCGTGTACGTTCATGCCATCTTCAAGTACAGAGGTATGCCGAATTATTGATCATCATGGATTCAATGCGCTGTATAGTCTGATAATGACCGAGAACGCACGTGGATGTCGTCGTCGAGCAATGCATCATCCTGATTGATACTTACGGTTTATTTCCCTCCATCAGGCGACCTCTGCAAGCGAGATGCGCAAGAGTACCTCAGAACTGAACACGTGCCAGAAGATCCGTACGCCCTAGATGTCGCAGCGTTCGCAACCGGTGGTTGGGTCCGTAGGTTCAAAGACAAGAATAACAAAATCGGCCCCAAGGGTGAGCATTAACTATTTATGCGTGCACACTGTTTGATAGTACCGTGTAAAGTACAGTACTGTAATGTGTATGCAACGAGTGAAGTGGTGACCAGCAAATGAGATGGATGATGCATCTGTTAACCCCAGTGGGGAGCTATTCTTTGTGTGACCCCACAACTGATGCACACTGGGGTCACAACGGGTGTACATGGGCTATTCTGGGGTTACAAGCATGCATCTCTGCCAATGAAATTATGCTACCGTTGCAGCCCTACATTTGCTGCACAAATGTATCACAATAACAGGAGTATCACAAAAATGCACCAACTGTAACCTTGGTGTAACTTATTATTACAAATGTGACCCTGAGTAACCCTGTTGTGAACACACAATTGGTGCACATTAGGGACATCCATGCGCAACAGAAAAACTTTGGTACACTTCAGGTGCAGAGCAGGGTCACTGTGTAGAAATACAGACACATCCTCAGTGTGCACCAATTTCCCCACTTTGGTTGTTATTCTTGGATGTGCCTGTAATGTATGGTACACTGAATCCATTGTTGATGCTGCATGCATATACAAGGGTTCTAACAAAAGTTCTTGGAATGAAAATGAAAATGGCATCTAATTGAGCTGAAAAAAAGTATTCTTTAGGGTAAACATATTGTTCGGCAAAAAAGCTCAGCCCTGTTTGACAATTTTTTCATGTTTTGCAAAATTCACCCTGGCAGAGTGTTGCTATCCACTCATTAATGAGGCGCCCTTCCTGCAGTTTTTTTTTTGTAGCCCAGCTTTCCCCTTCAGAATTCTTGAAATCAATGTGGCAGTAATTCCAAGGGTTGCCTCCAGGTGTTCCAAGGCAATTCTGCCATTTTCATTGACAGCCGCCTTCACAAGCCAACCTTCACAGCCATCACATTGGCCGCCAATTTGGCGGCTGTGAAGGCGTCTGTCAATTAAAATGGCGTGGTGTCAATGAAAATGGCAGAATTGCCTTGGAACACCTGGAGGCAACCCTTGGAATTACTGCCACATTGATTTCAAGAATTCTGAAGGGGAAAGCTGGGCTAAAAAAAAAAAAACTGCAGGAAGGGCGCCTCATCAATTGAGTGGATAGCAACACTCTG